CTGGCGAAACGTTAGGAAGAACAACCTTCAGAACACGGCCAAAGAGCCTGAAAAACCCACAACAACCATTAGATCCTGGCCGTGAAAGCCTTCGCGAATACGTCATGTGTTTTCTTTGCTTGTCTCCGTTGATAATTGATCTTTGGAGGGCTTTAGCTATAACAGCTGATAGTTCATAGACCCATCACCCTTCTGTAGGCATTTGTGCTATTTCTGGAGTGAAAAACTTTCCACTGTAAGGTCTCTCTAAATTACTTCTTAGGGCAGGTAAGCTTAAAATATATCACCTCCTCTACTGAAGCATAGGAACTCTAAGAATCCCACTATTTTGCGAGTGGCATTTCAGTGGAAAGGTACAGTACACATTTAATGAAGTGAAGTGCAGAAAAATAACTGCAGAGGGAGGTTGCAAAAGCACAAATCAGACTGGGAAAAGATTGAGCAGACTCACCTTATCCAATGAGGGAATCGTGTTCAACGACCACCCTGCTCAATGAAGGAATTCAATTCAAAGTATAATGAATTACTTTGATTTCACACTTGGGGTCATGCTCTTCAGCATCCTTGATGGGTCATGAGTGATATACCCCACCTCACCCCACACCTCTCTGCACTCCCCCACTCACTGCTTTACATGTCATAGGTTTGGGTATCCTGTGCTTCCTGCAGAATGTGTAGGTCCCTCATTTTTGTTTAAAAAAACCCTGTTTGTTCTATGCTGTGATAGAATAAAATGCGGAGCCTTTGGCTCTCAGTCTGAGCTCTTGAGCAGGGCTTTTGCTTGACACATTGTGCCCCAACTGAACTCCTGGATGCATCTCCATTTCCGTCTCTTGGCTTTTCTCTCTGGGTGTCTATTTAAAGGCTGCTTTCAAAAGATCCAGAAGTCTTTAATGTGGAGTCTTAAGCTGCCAGCTTCTCAGCCCTTTGACCACTTGCTTCTGAATACGAGAGAGCTGATAATCTTTAGTTCTACTCTATAAATTGTTTTGTTTCTTTCTGGAGTGCCATTCACTCCAGACCTGTGTTTCCATGGTTTTCATCCTGTATGCAGGATTTATTTCCCTTCACACTGAGGAACAAGGAGCAGGATAATTACCCGCTTGGAGGATTTGATGAAGGACTAAAACTTAAGTGGTGGGATCGTGGGAACAATTTCAACTTGTATTTTTTTTTAAAAAAAAGGAAAAATAGAAGTTCAGTTCTTGACAAAACCACTGTTTACTAGAGCTGCCAAACAGCAGCAGGGTTGTCGCTAGTTCTGTAGTCCTGTGGAATTCTGCCCTTTATGTCCCACTCATTGTGATTCACCATTTGGAGCACTGGGGTGGGGTGGAAATAGGTCTTTTTTCCTTTCCTAGGAAAGGCAATCTTGATTTGGATTTCCTTTGTTGCCCTGCAATACTAAATAGTCAAGATTGCATTTCTGGGAAGGAACACTGATTTGCACACTACATAGTTTAGAGCTGGAATAGAGCTAGAAGAGTAATTAGTTACAAATAATCAAAGAATCATAGAATAGTGGAGTTGGAAGAGGTCTATTAGGCTGTCGAGTCAATCCACTTGCTTAGTGAAAGAATCCAAATCGAAATATAATGAATTATTTTCAGCTAGGCAGAACTAAGTTATATTACTATTGTAACTCAAGGAGGAATAACTTCATACTTCTTATAATCACAGAGGGAGGGGGGGCTCACTAGTGTAGGAGCAATATTACATGCTTGTCCTGGTAGATGCTATGCTTTGGGGTTCTGCCTTGCACTCAATTGTGGGTGCTGTGGTGCTGAAGAGGAGGAATAAGTTTTGTACCAGGAACTAGCACCTGTGTTCTAATTTTAAAATAAGTCTCTAAATTAACCGTGATAATTACTTCTGAAAATGGGAAAAGAACAAGTTATATTTTTTAATTGTAATGGTACCTACCAGATACTGAGCCTTCAAACAGTAGCTGGAGTCCTGTTGGTTATTGTAGTAAAACACACTAGAGGAGGCACATAGAATCAGTGGGGATTTGATGAATCAGTTGAGCCTGTTCTAGTTGCAACTTGCTTCAGCATAGTAAGTCACAACTAGAGTAGGCCTGTGATCAGCCCACCTGGCTAATCACTTTTCCAACTCTCTAGTCCCACTGCTGGGCTATCCTTAAGCTCAAAACGTAAGAGCCAAACTGATTCCATTATAAAACAAACAATAATGTATTTTTTTGAAGCGTAATGGTTATGTAGCCAAGCAGTTTCTTGTGTGTTAAAGCAGGGGTCCCCAACCCCCAGTCCGCAGCCTGGTGCCGGTCTGTGGGCTTCCCAGGACTGGGCTGTGGAGACGGATCTGGCCCCCCCACATGGTGGGCATGTCGCGCTCATGCACATGCGAGTGCAACACGCCCACAGCCAGCACGACATCCCCGTCCACAAAGCACGGGGGTGCCCCTGCCCCCGCACGTGGAGCCCGCTCCCCAACTGATCCATTTCATTGGATCAGTTGTGTTAAAGACCATTGTGTTAAAGACCATTGTGTTAAAGAACCAACTTTGTAACAATTTATTCCTCAACAATGTAACTATGATAGACAATTCTCTTTTGGAAGCCCACACTCCACGCTGTATGCGAAGCCGGAGTGTCCTCTCCTACTGAGCAGGTAAACTATGTATCAACCTTCCTCCAGCCCTGTCTGACTGTTGGCTCCCTCTTCTTCTTTTTTCTTCCCTTGAGTGCACCTGGCGAGACATGATTGGCTCAGCCCTGACCAATCAGCTTCTCCTTGCTGACACTGAGACTGCCTGTCACAATGGGGGTTTGATGAGTCAGCCTATTCTGGTTGCAACTTGCTTCAGCATGGTAACACACAACTAGAGTAGGCCCATTTGACTCAGTGGAAGGTGTGGAGGAGCTAACTCACCAAATCCCCACTGATTCAGCTGCTCTAATGCGAATTGCTACAGGGAACAGCAGGATTTTGGACAATAAATGTAACTAATTGCTTTTTAAAAGTAATTTTTCAGTCTGGGGGATAGAATGAAGAAGTTACCAGAAACATGGTGCTCTTGTTAATTCCTTTGTTGGTGAATGTTCTGCTGACGTTTGAAACTTTTGTAGGAAAAGAATATGCTGGTTCTTGGCAACCCTGGCTTCCTTGAACATGTCCCAACATGTCAATGGCCCCACCCACATGGATGGTCATAGTTAGACCTGTTTTTTTTCCACCAATTGGAGCGAGGGTGATCTGATGGTGACTGACCTTTTGTCGGTCCCCTTGTCATGGTCAGATCACCACCTAATAAAATGTAACCTCTCAGTGGCTGTCCCCCCCCTGCAGGGAGCAGGGACCTATTTCTATGGGCCACCCTCAAAGACTACTGGATCCTGTTGGATTCCAGGATGTCATGAGAGGGGTTACAAAGGACTTGGCTGGCGCTCCTGTCAAGGCTCTGGTTGATTGCTGGCTTACCAGGGCTGTAGACACGATTGTTCCTAAACACCCTCTCCCGTTAACACAGAGCTCGGCCTGCGCCCTTGTTTAACCAGGACCTATGAGTGATGAAGCAATTTAGGAGAAGGCTAGAGCGCAAGTGGAGAAAGAACCCAATGGATTATAATTGGATAGCTGTCAGGGTCACAACTAACCTTTACCTGGCCAAGGTAAAGGCTGCTAGCCAAGTACATCTCGCTAACCAGATAAGCAAAGCTTCAGATCAGCAGGTGGAGCTATTCTGTATAGTGTGCGACCTATCCGGAGTTGGTCTAAGTGACAGGCCTCCCCCTAGTATTTCACCGGACCAATTTGCAGCATTTTTAAAATCTAAAGTGGAGGCCATTCGTTAGGAGCTATCTCCTTTTTTTAGATACAGTAAGTCGAGCAGAGATGTCCAGCGCTCCGCCTTGCCCGGTGACTCTTGATTTCTTTCAGACTGTGACACCATATATTGTGGACAAAGCGCTTGATCGCTGTCGGGCCACCTCCTCATCCCTTGACCCTTGCCCGGCCTGGCTAATCAAAGCAACCAGGCCTATAACAACAAAATGGGCCACCGCAATATTTAATGGGTCTTCCATTGAGGGCAGGGTGCCTCCTGCCCTCAAGGAGACACTCATTAGGCCCATAAGAAAGAAATCTAGTTTGGCGGCGGAAGAAATTGGCAATTATAGGCCCATCGCCAATGTTTCTTTTATCAGCAAAGTGGTGGAGAGGGTGATTGCTGATCAGCTTCAGGCTCATTTGGATGAAACAAATGCCCTGGATCCATTCCAGTCGGGTTTCAGGCCGCGCCATGGTACAGAAACAGCATTGGTCACCCTGTATAATGACCTATTGAGCGAGGCTGACAGGGGTAAAATATCTCTGTTGGTCCTCC